CATGCATGCCATTGCATAAATATCACAAAATTCAGGTTCCCTCAAGTGAATTGAACTCATAGTTTAGAGAAAAAATAGGGTTAGAAATGCATAGAGCAGGACTTGAAGAAAACCAGTTTAATTGATTTCCATTGCTTTCCATTATTCAGTTTAAGTTTAAGTCATTTGAAGTTCAAGAGAGCCTTCTATGTGTACATTTTTAACATTGTACAACAATACGTGGAAGTTGTACAACAGAACCTCAGATGTATGGCTGTGGTTCTGTGAGAAAATCTATTGTAAACTATCATGTCAGGGATTCAGGACTATTATAACCTCTGTGTGGAATGTCTTTACGAGTTGGAATAGCTTGATAAGAATGTCTGCATTTTGAGTCATGAGTATTTACAAAATATAAGCTGGAGCTACAAAAACCTAAATTCAAATACTGATAACTCAAATACATGTACCAACATTCAGTTTTCTATCAACAATGTAAGTTTCCACAGAAATGGTCATAAAAACAATGGCAGTTGTCCAGGACAGAATACCTTATATCCTAAATTATGATCATCAGTGTAGTTGTACTGTGACTGCAACATATTTTTAATGAGTTTTATTTTCAACACATAATTGGTTCATCATCAGAACCATGTTTGGCTGACAATACCATTTCTAAAACACATGCTCCGATCCTGTAGAACTTAAACATGCTACCCTCCAATCTTTTGGGGGCTGTTCTAGTTCCAAGCAACTAGGTATATGCTCTATAAGAAGATGTCAAGATAAGATGTCATGCAAGTTCTGCCAGTCTCAGGTGTTTTGTAGTTTTTCAACTATGGTGTGTCATCAGAACTGGATGACCTATCATGACAACAGCCAATTTGACCAGCTACCAGTAATTCCCAGTTTATAAGAGAGGCAGGAGAACAGCTGGAAGCAAACATTGGTGTAATAGATGATATCCTTGATGTGTGGGAACTTTCAATAAAGCAGGCGCACACATGAAAAAAGTAGTAGTAAAAGCTTTGGACCACTTTGAAGACAGTTCATTTTCGTACCTGAAGTGTTTTTTGAAAGCACCCAGCATCTTGGAAATCACATATTCTCACCCATTCACATGTTAGCTTGTCCAGTTTCTTAAGAGATTGGAGGGTCATGTTTTTTTTGTTATACGCCTGTTCAGTTTATTTCTATTAATATAATATCTAAAACGAAAACGAAAATCAGTTCCTGAAAATACAATGTTCTGCATATAGTACTAGGAAACAAAGAATGACCTCTTCTCCCCTGGATTTGTACTAGGAAACAAAGAATGACCTCTTCTCCCCTGGATTTGTACTAGGAAACAAAGAATGACCTCTTCTCCCCTGGATTTGTAAAAAGGATTTACATCAGATTGAACTAATGATTCTTTTCTTTCTTGATTTTGCCTGCAGGTTGTTCAACTCTTCCCATGAGCAATGCTCATCATTTAACTTAATTAATTTATTAAGTACATGTTGATATATCATAATAATGTAGTTAATAGCTGCTGTTAATTTTGTTTAGCTATCACACTTAAATGTATGCTAAAATTTCTTTTTAAAATCATTGTTTAGTTTATATGCATGTCTGTATTTTGTTGCTTTTATTAGGCCATTGCACTACTGTGAATTAATTTAGCAAATGTACCGCCATATTCAATTATTTATTTGGATTATTTCCTGATATGTTTTCCCCAATATTTGCCTTTAATCCAGGTTGGTTGATTGCAAGTTCAAACGGCTGGGCTGCCAGTGGCAAGGTCCATTTCATGAGTTATCTAAACATGAAAGTGAATGTACTCATCCAAATAAAACTGGTTTGGAGCTAATGACAGCTTTGGATGCCATTGATGAAACTAACAGCAAGAATATGCGGATGTTACAAACTATAGTTGGACTTCTGTCATATGAAAAGATCGCTATCAATGGTTAATATTCATCTCTGATTTCTTAATAGTTTGTTACCTATAATTCTGTTCAACATTTTACTTATTTCCTAGCACTTTGAATTAATCTTTTTTGAAGATGAACTCATTGCTAATGGGTTTTTTTTCAATTTTGGATATTGATGTGGTAATATTCTCATGTTGCAGTTTCTTGTCTTGTCTTCTTGTGAGCTTTTTGCCAATCACAATTCATGGATTATTTTGTTTTTCAGCTGTTTAAAGAAAGGCAGCATATTTGACATGCTTACCTTTTTTACAATTTGACTGCAACAATTTTTACCTTTTTTCCCACAGTCAAACTTGAACTTGATTTGTTCCCCTTCATTGCATAAAAGCGATATTCTAATGACATGTATCATGTTAACATACTAATAGATTTGCAGTTGAGACCATACCGTACAGATGATTTCATCCCACAGCTGTACTATGAGACAAGTCGTTTCAATGCCCTGGGGCAGCAATGGGTTGTCAAAACCAAAGTCATTGGAAGTGAGAAGATTCTCAAAAGAGGACTACTGTTTCAGCTTGTACAGAAAACAAAAGGACCAACGAACATCAAGTTCATGATGATTCGTAGTCCATTTGGTGACTTGTCTGTTGTGCCAACACTTCATCACCATGAGTTTGCTGGTGATGCCATGGAAAGTGAGTTTTATGAACTGAACTTTGTGGACAGTCTTGAAGCTAATAAGATGCTTGCTGAAAAAATAATTAACTTGAGGCTAATGATGTTCCAAGTATCAAATTAATAAACTGATTTTATTTATACAAATGTATATATAAATTCAAAAATTAAGACTTTTGTAATAATTTAGCAGCATATTTGACTTAGTTGCAGTTTATTGATATCTTCTTTTTATTGCTTAAATTAGAGGTATAATTGGTTGGTTTTATAGATTAATTAAAGTTAAACATCTGGACTTATTTATATCAAAACAATATTTATGTAGTTATGACAATAGTTTCAGACGAAACAGGATAATATGCTGCTGAAATTTACAAAAATAAGAATTAAACTAAAATATGCTAATTGTCATTTTATGCATGGATCAAGTTCATGACTTGCAAATATTCAAAATTGGCCTAACCAAGTGGCTACTGTATCAAAGGGAAGTCAGCACACTCTGGCCTTTTTATATTCATCCCTAACCCTTCCCTACCCCTGGTTGATCTATGTCTTGACCATGATTCATGAAAACCAATTCATTGCACTACATATACAGTGTCTTTTAATCTGTATTCATTACCCACCACCAAGACAGTAGCCTTTGGTTGTCTAAGGATTGTTAGTGCCATTGTTTATGTTAAATACAAATATTGTATATTATTGTAAGTTTCTAATTATTGAAGTGATGAACTTATCCCTGTGTGTTATTTACCTGCTATTTATTATATTTTGCTTAAATAATTCTTTTGTACAGAAAAAGCAGTATTACAAAAATTTACTGAAAAGTTTTAAACTAATATTATAACAATTTGGTGAACGGTTTGAAGAATATTGGTAATATCTCTGATAACTATGTAATATATGGACATAAAATTATTTTATCTATAATTAGCACAGTCACACAGTCCATGCAGTGTAATCGATATCCCTAACAAAGGATGGGTGTATATAATATAAATAATCAATCAAATATAATAATTATTGAATCATTGTTAACTATTACTTTTAAATCCATTTTAAATAATATTAAAATTCAAGTGATTAAGATTAATGTTGTGTTTAAAAGTACTTTGATTGCTGTATTGGTAGAACATTCCTCTTGCCTGCTGATGAACTATTTGCCAGTAATTATTCCTTGAGTCAATAACAAGGTTATACCTATTATTATTATTATTGAGATGTTTGGGTAATGTGTGTAATATATTAAACTACCTATCATTATAATTATTATTATTATTATTATTATTATTAAGATGTTTGGGTAATGTGTGTAATATATTAAACTGTGTGCACAAACTGTCTGAAGTATTTTCTTGTTAGGAATGTTTATAGGCAATAAACAATAGTTTGAAACGGTTTATTGGGGAAATAAACCACAAGGGATGATTGGGAGAACACGAGATTTACCTTCTCGAGTGTTGTCCCATCCTAATGAGTTTATTTCGCCAGTAAACCACTTCAAGCTATCGTTTATTGCTTTTATATTATAGCTGGCATCTGCCTTTTAGACTCAAAAGTCTTTCAAGACAGCAGGCTGGTTTACCGGTTAAAATACCCATAGCTTTTCTCATGAAATCCGCCAATCAGTGTGCATGTTAGAATTGAGCTATAATATAAACTGTAACAATAGTCTAAATCCACATTACATCATCCTCCTAACCATTCCATCTACAAGGGATGAGAAACATAACTTGTATAAAATTTAAATGAGAAATGTTTCTTTAGAAGAAAAGCTCTCTAGCTTACATGTGAAAGGACTGCAGAAAAACCTTGTACTCAACACATTGTCCTTTACCATACATTTATTACATAAATCATACAGCTTTAAATATTATGATAATTGTAGATTATTAAACATCATTGATGGCACAAAAATAGGCCAAATGTGGCTTAGTACAACTGGAAAAGTACAACCTTTGCAACCATACCAGAGCTCCTCTGCAACCATACTTTTTACTCAGCCCGTAAACCTTATGATTCAAACTGGAGATCACATGTTACAAGGTCCTTTTTTATCTACAAACTTTAGTCTGGCACATGCGTTTTTTGGGTGTATATGAGCTAAAACACCCAAGTTTATAATATATAGCACCGTGTAGTATGGGCCGTCACCACAAAAAATGCTGTTTTTTACATTACGAAATCCATTCTATCCTTGCTCGTCATTCATTGTGTGTATAGTTGTGAACAATACTTTATCCTTCATACATTTACAGTGCCTTATAGAAATAATTTGGACAAAGACACCTTGTGGTGTTTATGTTTTGTTGACAGTAATTCCACACAGATAGAGTACATTCCCAACAGACAAGGCATAATGGAACCAGTCTACCCCCCTTAGTCCTAAAATGTTGTCCATAGATTCCATTCCCCCAGCCAGCATGTAAGCTATAGTCCCAGCAATTCCAAATAAGTTCTTGTCAATAATAGAGACAAATACTATCCCAAATACAGCTGATGTGCTTACTAACTTCGACAGGTTCTCGTTGATAGACACACGTAAAAATGTTAACACCAGGCTTGCACCACTAGTAGCAAGATGTAGGTTACCAAGACCCTGTTTCTGATGATGGAATGAAAATCCTGCAGCAATCAAAGGCAAACCTGAAAGAAACATAATTACAATCAGTGGGGGTGCTCATTTATATTTACTATATAGGACACTTCGCCAAATGGGGTATGTCTTGAATAGGGTTTACAAATTATTAACCTTCAGAACTGGTCTTGAATAGGGGTGCATTTTCTATATTCAGAATGTCTCACACAGGATGTCAATATTCATCTAGTAAACTACATGTACAAAAGTTAAGTCAAAAGTTAAAATTCAATGGCATATTAACATCTTTTACAGGAAAACTGCAGTAATTTATATCAACCCTTGAGTCTTGGCCTGCCTGTACTCTAACACTGAATTATATGAACTGTCAGAAGTTAGGTTTTTCATTGAACTTGCATTATTTTCATGATATGGCGTTGAATGTGCTGCAAAGGATATAAGCTTATGTTGTTATTAGCTTTTAAATAATAAATTCAAAGAGATGTCATGTGATCAATGATTAACAGCTGACTTTTGTTTCTTGTTATTATGGACTATGCAATTTTGCACAAGGTCGATTCGCAAATTACATCAAGTTATGATGCAGTGTGACAAAAAATATAACATTTTAGCATTCACATTCTGATATTCTGGCATGGTAATTAAGCTAGTGCAAAGTTTGAAAGAACCATTGTGAAATGCTAGATTGTAGATATGACTTTCACCCCCAAAATAATGATAAATCGAGCACCCCACCCTCATTAGGTCATTTCCGAATTGGAAAATTTCAGAAAGGCATTTAACTTAAGCTTAAGATTAAAAAACTGGCAAATTTGTTGACTTAATAAGGCTTATAAATTAAAAACAACGAGTTTATTGACAGTCTTACCAGCTACTGAAGCAAGCCATGACATCAGCTTGTGCAGTTTTATAACAACATTATGAAATGATGGAATTATAACGCTAAATCGCACAACACCCATACAAGCTGCCACTCCGACTAAACCGAAACCTGCAGATGCATGTAAACTGAGTTTGTTGAGCGTTGGGTTTGATGCACAGGCAAATGATACCAGAGCAAGTACTAAGTCAGAGACTGCAGTAGCTATATATCTCGGCTCTAAAGTAGCCATTGTAGATGAATAATAGTTTACAGGGCCCTTTTCGAAATGTGCAACAATATGGCAGCCAAAATGGTTCTCTTGTCGAGTACACAGGGATCCCAAATCATAAAGCTTTTTCCATTGTGTCAAAGTATTAGTGTTTGCTTCTACCCTTTACAAAAATTTCAGTAAATACGTACATTAACTCAAACGGTCTGTTTATGTAAAAATTTCAGATTATAGCAAACTCAGTACAAAAAGGAAAATATTTTGGATGTAAACTGCATCGGGTTCCCTGTGTTTCATCATTGATCCTTGGAAAGCTTTCATCRTGGCGTCGAACATGAGTTTGCCTTCAAGTCTTCCTTTGTTAATTCTAGAGGACAAAGTTCTTTTACCAGGTTCTTCAATGAGGATTGCAGTCAGAGACAGTGCAAGGTAACAACTGGCTACATTTTCAACTAATGATGTCCCTGCAAACAAATACCACTCGATGTAAAACATGCAGCACAGTCGGCTGCAGGCCTGTAGTCATTATCAGCATTTTAATGCGTCATCTGACACCTAAAGCCTTTAAAGAAAGAGGTGTTTTTGACGAGCTTGCATTGTTTTCTTAGTATTCGTATGATTGACTCAAGACTTTTGAAGAGAGATTTGCTGAGAAGCGTTCTTGTTGGTGTGGTTCCTCGACGGTCGAACCAAGAGGTACGTTACGTAAGCTTTTCTACGTACATTCTGTGGGTTCCTACAGTATAATATGGATGGTTAATGAGTTCAGCTCTTTCACAAAAATGTCTTACTGCAGACTGCTGAATTCACTGTACTCTGGAGAGTTGTTTGTTATTATTTTCATTAACTTTTTATATGCTCAGTGTATTTTCTGAGAATTCTTCAGGTTGTTGATCATGAAAGTTTTAAAACCTTAATTTTTTATCTTTTTCAAAAGAGCAGGTAAATCATCAAATTATCAGAAAATTTGCATCTGCCTATAAATGAAAATTATTTATGCAAGTGTAAATAATATGCAAAGAAGACTTGCAATACTCATGAATGCTGTGTACTGAAAGAGTCCTCTTTCAAAAATTCTTTTTACCATGCACTTCTTCCCTTTTCCTGGTTTGCAATCAGCACCTCCAGTTCCTGTTTCATTGGTATTAACCAGTGATATTAATAGTGTTTATTTGGAACACACTGCTTGAGACCAAAGACAGATGACAAGTGATACGGGGAGCATTATCTGACCCTGCCTTATACAATGCTCATTGTAGACAGAAAGGGATCCTGAGAAATATGGACTCCAGCATCTTGAGGGATTTTGCAACAATTTGTTTCCCATTATACAGTAAGAGAAGGACTGTGTGCCATTCAGCTCTCCCTAATTCCACCCCTGAATTGTATTAAAAGTATTCATATGAATTAGTGTTGTATTTACAGCATACCAGTGATTCATTGGTCAATGCCATGGGTACAGCTGCAGTGGTTGTCCAGGTAACTGGTACTAACTGGCCAAAACCATTATATACCTTGTTAGTGACTGGACTATGCAGGTTCCAAATTGATGGAATTATCCAGGATTTACCATTTGTTGTTGCCAATATCAAACAAATGGATTCACCATCCAAGCAAGGTATCTTACAATACGTACCATTACCCCCATTTTTATTATTATTCTTTTTTTACGAGTAGCAAAATTGCCCAACTTGTATCGCAACATTGCTGCAAAACAAGTTGTAAAGTGATGTTGCCTGCTTTACTACTGGCAAACCAAATTGTCTCACATGAAAATAATTTGATGCAGGTTGAGCAAATCCTTATTTCTGTTGTGCAACATCACTTTGCTGCAGGACAAGTTGGGTTGTTGTAGTAAAATGGGCAACATCTTCGAGTTTTGTTGCAAGTAGAACCATCTTCTACTTTCTGCAGAAAACTTTTTCAACTTGCAACAAAAAAATTTGTACTGAAAAGTTGGTAAGCCGCAAGTAAAACGGACGACATTGCTTTCCAACTTTTTTGCAGCAATGATGCCACAAAAGTTGAACGATTTTTCTGCTTGTATTTCACTGTACCTTAGAAATAATGCAAAAGTATTAAACAAAAACTCCAAAATTCAATTTGATATTATTACTATACTGGCAGAAATCATGATTGAAAAAGACAAATTTTATTCAGTGTCCAGATGAAATTTCAATTTGACAGAAAGCGAAGAGAAAAGCTGGCAAGAAATTTGATGTTCACTGTTTTCTTTGAATTACCTTTTGCCCGGCCACTGAATATTATAAAGCTCATAATAATCAAGCTTGCTTTGATCAAATCAATAACCTAATTCATGCATTTTATTCATTTCACATTAAGAAATGGACATCAAGAAAAATGCAGAGTTGACATCATTAGCAGTTGAGTTCAGGTTGTTAGCAGAGGATCTTGTAGATATTTTAGATGGAAAGGCACCAGTCATCAATCGTCTCAAGGTGAGGGGCTGGTAGTGTCATTATCAGCAAAGGCAGTCAACTTTATTTTGTACTTCAATCATTTAAATGTCAAGCAAATAATATACTGTAAGTTGTAAGAATAGCAGTGACAACTACAGGTTTCACATTGGTATTTCAGGAAATGCTAACAGCTCTACCAGACCACAGCCTTCCTGATACTTTAGCATCTATAGTCAAAGCAACATTTGATGAGAAACTTGAGGTAATAAATTCTCATCATTGTTGCATAGTCAAATTAAAACCAGCATACCATGTTCATTTCAGGTTCTTAACACAACTGACTTGGTTGATAGATTCAAGAAAGCTTTACACCTTCTGAAGAGACAACAAGAGGTTGGTTTATTATATCCAGTAATATTTGGATGCTTTGTGTAATGGGATGTTATGTATTAAGATTGTAAAGGTTAATGGTCCCAGCAAGATTAATGAACCATCCAGGAAATCCAGACAGCTTTCAAAAAAGGTAAATGACAGTCCAAACGTTTATTTGAAAATTATGATAAAAATATAATAACAAGAAAATGATTTATCTGTCGATACATGTATTTCCCCCCAAAAAAATACAAGAATAATTTTATTATGAAGAAAATATTATGTATTATAGAAATACACTTAAATCCATTGATACCAATAATGGTACGTTAGAATTTTCTAAATTTAATAGGTTTAAAATGCAAACTTAGAAACGTATTAACTATATAACAAGATCATATCATACCATATTGCACAAATCTTTGTACAGATTTAACATTTCAAAACAATATTTTGCAGATATTTTGATAATTGATTCATCTTTCGTTGATAATATATATAGAAATAAGTTATTTCCCATTCAAGTTTTAAAACAATCATTTTTTTTAACATTATTACATGACATTAGATAATGAAATTCGTTACCAACCGTTCTTGAGTCACACAAGTGACAAGAGCATTGTTCATATGGAATGCCATATCTTCCCAACTCCACGAGTAGTTTGTGTGCAGAAATTCTAAGTTTCGTTACAGCTTTCCTATGATTTACATTTGTAATCTTTTCTAAATAGTTCTCAAATTTAACATCATGTTCTATGATGTATATGAAGGTTAACTATTTATCAAGCTTGCATTGTTATCAAGTCATTGTATTTGTGTTTAGTTTGGTGGTAGTTCTTTTCCTATACGAATCACCAAGGGTGCTGAAAGTACTGATGATAATGAGGATGAGGATGACATTGAAGAACTTGAGCGCAAGCTGAAAGGAGCTGCGTTACCTGAACATGCTCTCAAGGTTGCTATGAAGGAAATCAAGGTCAGTAGCATGACAGGAATATGGAGATATGTTATCTACTGCCAGTAATATTACAGGTTCCTGTTTTCAGCGATTGAAGAAAATGCCTCCACAGTTTCCAGAACATGCAACAACAAGGTATAAAACCTGCTTTCATGGCGTGGACTCACACATTTACCTCTACCAGTCAATATGCAAATAAAGCAATCACATGACTCAACAACAAATCAATTCACAAATCAAACTACTTGCCAAGCAACCTACCTACTCACCTAACAACCTAATCACCAGTACCAACCTACTCACCTAACAACCTACTTGAATACCAATCTACTCACCTAACAACCTACTTGAATACCAACCTACTCACCTAACAACCTACTTGAATACCAATCTACTCACCTAACAACCTACTTGAATACCAACCTACTCACCTAACAACCTACTTGAATACCAACCTACTCACCTAACAACCTACTTGAATACCAA